ATTGCTGATAGGTAAAATTTGAGCCTTGACTGACCTTTAGCTTCTGACCACTAAACCTTGAATTCGGAAAAATAACGTCAGATAATGGATTCACGCACGCTAAAACCCATATAAAAACATGCATTACTACATCATTTTAGGTTCAAGTGGTTAAAAAAGTTCAAATTTTTGAAGATCGCCGTCCAGCGCCATTTTGGATTTATGCAAATTACTAGAGTTGCCCAAAGTTTTGGGCTCATTTGGCAACCAAGCTGAATTTGTTTAGAACCTATATGAGTACAAATCAGCAAAAAAACTCATAGGAGAAGCATATTTCTAGGTATTTCATGAAATCATCAAGATCGACTAATTAGAGATGGCAGTGTTCACAAGGGCACTGGGGCAACTGATTCTCTGAATTCAGTGTTTGAATCACGGATTGTGACGTTTCCTCTCACAAGGTGGCGCTGATGCGAACAAAATTTTTTTTTTTTTTAGATATCTTTACGTTATTTTTCCACGAGAAATATGTATAGTCATCATGCATTTGTGCGATCAATGTTGTTGTATATCCTTGGCGCGATCGACAGCATAATTTACAGCGTGTGCGTGAGTAATCACATGTATACGGGATGTTCACAGCAGAAGCACATGTGGTCACTTCACTGACTGTGTGACGACGATGGCAACCTTTACTTCCAGAGAATTCATGATCTCTCTTATGGTAGGTTTTTGCCATTGGATTAAATCCTGACTGGTCATGAATAAGTTGCTAGTCCCAAGGTAGCCCTAGTAGTAGTACTAGTAGTAGTATAACTATAGCTTGCGTACGGTTGGCGGGCAGGCCCCTGCGGCAACACAGGCACTTGAAAGCGATCAACGTAAACACACGGCCACCCGGCCATTGCGCGTACACTGACACCATAAATTATAATAGCAGGTATGAAAGCGTGCGCCAGGAATTCGCCCTCGAGCTCGCTTGATTACACCCTACGATTACACAGAAATAATGGGCAACCTTACGACTCCATCTTTGCTGCTAATTGAAGTACAGTGTGTCACTTGTTGTAGAAATTATCAAAATTGTCTCACTTCTTCGCAAGCAGAGCTGTGTCACGCAAAATTCACGAATTAAATCATGAAATTCTCAGGGCGATCTCTTAGCATTGGCTTGCGCGATGGTAAACACCATTTAAAGTACATGGCGGATAGGCGCGCACTGCGACTCTTGGTAACCACAACGTTGCTTTCCGGCCTCCCACTGTAGCCCCGTCAAAGCCGCCAGTGGGGCTTGCCTATATAGATACCATAGACTGGACCAACGTTCGTACCTCTGGCCACGTTTTTAAGACAGTTACATTGGAGTGTACAGTCCAATAGGTAGCAGTCTGATAGTTTGAGGCATGGAGCGAGTCCGAGCGCGCGGAGGCATGCCTGTTCGAAAAAATTACGTCACGCGCTGACTGTAACCGTAGGGGTCTCGGCAATCTCGAAATGTGTTGACCAATCAGCGCCAAGCATGCCTAAGACTGCGTAGAATTTCAATGATTTAAGTTCACACACGATTTGCGTGCACAGCTCTGTTGCGAAGTGAGACATGATATTTCTACAACAAGTGAACAAGTTACTTCAATTAAGCAGTCAAAGATGGAGTCGTAAGGTTGAGTATTTTCTGTTGTAATCGTGTGTAATCAAGCGGAGGCGTCGACGAATCCTGGCGCACCTTTATACCTGGCTATATATAGTTGTAGTGTCAAGTGTACGCGCAAGTGGCCCGGTGGCGTGCTGTTTACGCAGTTGATACGCTTCAAAGTTCCTGTGTGGCGCAACTGTAAACGTGTACGCGGGCTATAAGTACTGCTCATAGGGTCCTATGTCCCCCAGGGTATCGCCCCGGAACGTACCCTGGTACGGTCAGGTATACCGGAACGTACGCCTGGTCACTATTTGATATGGTTACGGGTTTAGGATTAGGAGTTAGGGTTTAGGAATTAGATTAGGGTTAGGAGTAGGCGTAGGCGAGCTCCCTAGACCCGTTAGATGGAGTAGACGAGGTACGTCCCGGCATATTAGATAGTAGCCAGGGTACGCTTCGGGCGGTATACCGACCTGTTACCCAGGGACGTTCCGGCAGTATCCCGGGGGACATAGAACCCCTCTCAGCTATAGTACTAGAACTACAAAAGAAATGTAAACCCCGACCAGGGCTGTGTTTACTAACCGCCTGAGAGGGTCTAAGTCCCCCGTGGGTACTGCGAAGCCGTAGCCCCTGGTACATATCTAATACTGCCAGACCGTACCTCGCTACTCCACTCAACGAGTCCACTCCTCCTTCTCTCCCAGCTTCTCCCCCTCCTCCTCCTCCACCAGCTTCTCCCCCTCCTCCTCCTCCACCAGCTTCTCCCCCTCCTCCTCCTCCTCCACCAGCTTCTCCCTTCTCCCCTCCTTCTTCTCCACCAGCTTCTATATCATATATCATATATTTCGCAGGTCAGAAATTTCGCACACAAAGACGAGCTGTGATTAGTCGTGTCGGGACGCACGCGATGTGCGCGTGCGCATAGGCGCGGGGGGCGGGGCTATCTCAAATATTTCGCAAGGCAAATATTTCGCGCTACACCGGATCAGTGCCTTGTGAAATACAAGAGAGAGACCACACAAATATACAAGATACAAGATACAAACACGCTGTTGGTAGCCATGGATGGAAGTCCACGGGTTTCGGTTCAAGGATAGAGATGATGTCCAGATTGAGACCTATAGGCTATAGAAACATTAAGAATTCGGTAGTAAATAGATTTCGTATTTAGTTAGCATTATATTTTATTGAAACGCTTCAAGTGCCTGTGTTACTCACAGGCACTTGAAGCGTATCAACTGTAAACATACGCCACCGCCATTGCGCGTAAACTGATACCCTTACAGTTGATACCCTTCAAGTGCCTGTGGTGTTACTCTTAGCATAGACTCTGACAGACTGACTAACGTCACTAAGGTCAGAGCACGTATATACTCCTATATAATATCAGGAGTCTATCATTATCAATAGACTCCTGATATTATTATTATATATTCTATTGATAACATATTAATTATTGATTGATATACATATTATCAGGAGTCATTAGGATATTGCCAGGAGTGGCTGGAGGTACGGTAGCTCTAGTACTATAGCCCGCGTTCGATAAACTGCCGCAGGCCTGTGTTTTATTTGGCATACCAAAGAAGTTATTATAGGCTAAAAGTTGTCAGAAAAAACTCATACGAAATGGCCATGTTACGGTCTATACTCATAGCCCTACGGCAACTGTACGCGGGATAATAGTTACTAGAGCTAGAGGTACGGTAGTCCGAGCCGACGCAGACCCCAGTAAACCCGCACCCTCAGATTAGCAAAGCGGAGTTATAACGTCTGCATTTGCGGACTAGAGGTACGGTAGCTCCAAGAAACGGTATTGCTAGGGTTAGAATACCTATAGTATAGACAATCCGTCGCACAGCCTGGTCGGGCTAGAGGTACGGCAGCCGTCGTTCGTTGAAGCCCTTTTTTGGCGTTAGGGTTAGGGTTGTCGACCGTTACGGTCTGTCGCTGTCGCTGCAGTGTGTCTTGGCCTTTAGGGTTCTAGCTCATCTAAACTCTCAAATCGTGAATTTATTTCCCAAGGCGTTATTTCGAAATCTGGCGCTACCCGCCAGCAAGTAATTAGTTAAAAAATTTGAATGTCTTAGACTGCACTTTGAGGCCACCTGTGATAATTTATCCCGAAAAATAAAAAATTTCACCCCTTTTAGTTTAAGATACTTACCTCTGTTAGACACCGAGCACGCTAACCAGTTCTGACCTGCCGCAACTTTTCGCCTCCGGAGACCTCACGTTGGCATCTGGAACGCATTCTCACTCTACCACCCCCCGCCACCGCCCTCATACGAATTCTCACGCATATCCGACCGCAAAAGAACAAAAACGAAAAAAAGCACCCGCCGACAGCCTGTTATCCACGTCCAGTGGCTGTGCATAGTGACCAGCAGATTCAAGGGCTCGTCTCTTAATCGTATCTTCACAAGCAATCTTTATTTGTATGTAAGTTACAAGCATCGCACGCATAACTTAATTAAATGCGTGTATGTAGAAGATCACATGCATCTTGTAATAGTCGTCTACCCAACCAATCAGACATAGTCTTACTATATATTAAGTAAAGCCGCGTGCAGATCCTTATGTAAAGTTACACAGCATAGAGAATTGCACTAAGAATTCCACCAAATCAGCACTCCAGCGTGTGGAAACGCTTGTCTACTATTCAGACCGCCGGTACAAAGATTATTTATCACAAGCAACTCATTTTGTCCACGACCCTGGTTTGTGTTAAAGACAGCATCAGCTCAGGATGTAATCCGCTTGTACTAAATGTTACTGGCCAGATCAAAAGACAGGCTTCTCACTCCGTCCCACTCCAT